GCAAAACAAGTGCGAGATACGCAAATGTTTTACTTACTGGGGAGGTGACAGGAAAAAATGTAACGGGCACCGTAAAAAGTATCAAAAAGGATTAATAACTTGAAAAAACGCGTGGTTAGCCCTATATTTTATGTTATGAAATGGAAGTGGCAAACCTATTCAGCACGTGATTAGTTTCTGGTTGTAAGCCAAAGATATTTAGACTGTGTTTTAGCTGAAACAGAGGAAGGCTGTCAGAGACGCTAAAAGTGCTGTTACAACGATTTTGTTCCTAAAAACATACCAAAAATGGTTTTTATGTTACCATCTACCATGTAGTTTTCAGATCTTTATAAATGTGACTGCTTTTCTGTATGTAAAGGCGAATTCAAAGGAAAGTTGTGAAGAAATATCCTCTCCATCCATTTTCAGAAAAATGCTGGTGTCAGCATTTTTCTTGAGATGCAAGGCTAATTATCTCGAAAAAAATGCGTGGCTACCCCCTTTTTCCTTTGTGTATTCCGATAGCCCTTGCAAAGGTCTACTTTTTCCGTGTGGTCCTACCCTGGCGCAAAAACCTTTGTATTTAGTTGGCACCGTCCCTAAGTTACTTATCTTAGTTTACTAACTTTACTACAATGTATATGGATGCAAGCGAACTACTAATACGTTACGTAGCTATTTTTCATATTCCTATACAGTAGACGAAAGCTTCTACACAGACAAGCATCTTATCCACAGAAAGTGTGGATAAGATGGACATAGATACCGACACAGACCTTAAAGATTCCAATTCTGGTGACTTCTTCACCCGTTGAAGTTGGGGAAGCGAAAATCATAGGTTTCCCACTTTCAAAAAGACTCTCACGTTGAGTCGGAATCAGAATGGTCTGTGTCGGAATCATCGTCGCTGCCATATTCGGCATTAAGAATTGAACGAAGATCCTCAAGGACATCCTCTTTCTCTAGTTCATTATCATCTTGATCACCATCTTCGTCATCATCTGTATCATCATCATCAACACCATCATTATCATGCTCCTCATCAAGGCGACCACCATCACTTCTTTCGGCTTCTTCCGTTAAAATACCTGCTTCTGCGTCTTCTCCTTCATTACTATATCGAGCAAACAGGTTTTGGAGATGAATCGAGAATGCTTCCAGTTCGTCGTGCCTGGACAGGACAATGGACAGCAAACCGCGGGCGTGAGAATCCGTGCCACCCGCTAACTGCTTTGACCAGGAATCTAGAAAGTCAAGCTGACGCTGGTAAAAAGTGCCGACTCTCTTAATTTCTTCCTTGATGAGATCAGACTCTTCTGCACATCTTTTCAGTACGTGATTTAAATCAATGATTTGCCGTTTGATGCAGTAAGGTACACCACGCGATGTTAAACTGGAATCATCGAGAGTATTCCATAAGGAAGAAGTGATATCCAATGCTTCCTGGAGGACGATCTTTTGAGGATATTTGCATCCCTTGAAGGATTCTCCCCGCCCGTACTGCTTAATCAGCTGCTGCATTGAACTTGTGGTCTTTGAAATCTGACCACAGAGCTTTTTGGCAATAGCTTGTCCATCTGTAAAGAGAAAAAACACAGTAAGGACATGCATTTCTTTGCTGCGAGTACATTAGCGTACTGACAATCATTGGCACAGGTACCATTTCTTTGCGGATCGATGACATCATAGCACTGACAACAATTTCCCGAGCATACACTAGTTTAGTGTCCACCATAACATAGCTGGACCTGGAAAATGAGAGCACGATGTGTACTCACACACTTACAGAGGAGCTGATATAAAAACGGATGCTTTCATGTATAGTTATAATTACATTACCTGCATACTTTTTCATTAGCTGCAAAAGGAACCACCTCTCGGAACATTTGTTGCGCATAGAAAGGAGCAAACTCCTTCGGCGATTATCTTCTTGCTCCCTAATGTAACTCAGGTAGGTCTCACTATTGGGAGGCCAACGACGCCCACCATTTTCCATTTTCTTAAGTTCTTCGTCCAAGCTAAAAAAGGGAAGCACCGCTTAGTAGGATGTTGATCGGTCAAGTTTTTAGATCCGCTAAAAAGAGTTACCCTACCGGTTTAATTGAGTTGTTAAGATCTGCCACGTGTCAGAACCAGATACACAATCGGAAAGACTTGTTCTGAAATTAGTAAAACAAAAAGAGATCATTATCAAACTGGTTGGTTAAGATAAAAGAGAATCCAGTAAGTAATGTGGCAATAGCCCCATTTCGATATCTAAAAAATTCAGCCTAAAGCAAAAGAAATCACTGTGCGGCTCTGGAGAATAAACCCCCAAAACTCCACAGTTTATTCCAAAGAGCCTCGTGCTGAGGTCTGTTGCTCCGAGCTGTATCTTAATATATCCAAATTGGCCTATTTATGTTGCCTGTCTCTACCATCAAAGAGCAAAAAGCATTTAGTCTACAAGAATACAAACGGCCCAGCTCATATGACCCTACCTCACAGTATAGTATTGTTTTAACTTTTCCGGATATCCAGCTGGAGCAGACCGATCTGTAAAATAAAATAATTGCAGTGATTAAGATAACAATGTTGGTGATGGCAATGGTAATAGCAATGGTATTATATCGCAGTGCTATGGGTGCAGACGTGGATGATGGTCAACGTTGTGATACCATAATGATAAGCGGTATCAATTTAACAATCAGTAGGATGATAATGGCAACCATCATAGTGAAAATGACGATGACCATGGTTCAGTTGGGAGCATCTTCACTAATGGAAACTTGCCAGCTTTTGTATTGGTCTTTGCGGATTCCTGAAGGATGGATTCTTTTTCTGCTTTTGTCCATTCCTCCACGGTTGCTAGTTCCACTTTTGCACCTGTAAATGCAGTTGCAGTTGTGGAAAGCCAATAATCATTTTGGATCACTAACTAAACAACAGACAATTGACATTAAACTGGCAAAATAATTTCGAACCAAAAAATACAAAATTTACTGTTCCAGTACCCAATGAATCGAATTGATAATTAAAATTGCATATTTTTCAAGCTCGTAGTTTGAAATTGAGTCATGATTAGCCCTTTCTTTAGCATTACTGAATTACAATGTTGTCTGAAATACTTGAAGAAGTACTCTTGCAGCCGTATCCACTTTCAATTATCACGATAATTGCACTAGGACCAAACCTGTTTCCTTAAGTTTACGAAGAAGCAATTCCAGCTGATCTTTGGTTTCTTTCTTTGTTTGCTCAGCTTTTTTTAAGTGGTCACAGAGACGTTCACCTACATGTATAACAAGGCACAACCAATTAGAAAGGACTCCTGTCAACTATCAAATTTGTATTTGAACGTTCAGTGTTTTTAACTTTTAAGCCATTTTTTAGCCTGTAAATATAAGTTATTTTTATTACAATACTTATTGCCAATGTAGCAATTATTTGTAGATCACTTCAAATACAGGTTGTGAACACACACCAATGTTTGAAATAGACTTTTTGGCATAATGCACTAAAAAGTCAGTCAATGTATCCACTCTATGGGAAGGAGTCATCTCTTTCGTGATCTTTGATGTTGGCCTTAAGTAGGACCACAACCTTTCCATCATTTTGCCATCACTCAAACCAAAGCCCTCCAGCCGCTTCCCACTATATGCGACCTGCCCAAACATTAATGGAAATTAAGTAAGATTTTGTCAATTGCTACCATGCAAGTCAACCGAAATGAGAGGAAAACCTAACAGCAAGACATGCAAAGGCTATCTAAGTTAATTGTGCCATGCCCTATATTGCAATAATTGCAATAATTGCAATATAGGGCATGGTCACAATTAACATAATTATATCACACAAAAACATTAAAAAACCGTTCATGCACCTGACATGAGACCTTGTGACCATAGCAGTGAAATGCAGGGATTGCCACCACAACATTGTCCAGAACATTTTCTTGGTGAGTACTCTAAAAATGATACCAATAATGAAGTCTTTTACCTTGTCAATAATTAAAACACAAACATGTACCATGTAACACTTAAAGCAGAGACAATAACATAAACATCACACTAGAATAAATGGGAGAAGCAATGAAAATGCAAAAGATACAGTGTACAGTGACATTCTTGTAGCTATAAGACACACCCTAAGATGAGCATCCAAGACACATGCAATGTCGTAGAAAAAGTAAACATTTATGCCCTTCTCATGAACCAGTTCCTTAATCCATTTTAGAAGGAACACAGCATTTCCAATTCTACAAAATATGAAGATAAAGTTACAAGTTAGTTACTTACTGAACACAAATAATAAAATTTGACCACTGAGCTGACCACAGAAAGCTGTAACTGTGTCATAAAACTACAATTACATAATGCATGTTGTTCTTTAATAAAGGCTAACAAAGTCTACAAACATGATGAAACTGTATGCTACTTCAGTGGACTGTATGGGTATATGGAGAAAGTACACTGAATATATTCATTATATGTCACCCTAAAATGTAACAGGCACATCTACACACTCTTCTCCTCTCTTTAAACTGAAGAATTTCAGGGGGACTTCATGTCTGCAGCCAGCACCAAAAAGGGCAGTCTCATCCAACTTTTTGGACTTAATTTTTGACCGGAGATTAGACCCTGCTTGGAATTGGTTGCATGATTCCTGTAATACTGATTTGAAAAGAATAGTAATGATAACTAGAATATGCTTTGCAGTCACTGCTCTTGAACATTTAATCATCTCATCCAGCTACATCCTTACGGATATCTGAAAACAATCTGTAAATAATAAGTTTGTGTTACATTATACTATGAAATGTAATTTACAAATAGTCGACAAATATGGCACTGTCATGTACATGACAGCCCTTTGCTGAATAGCGACAAACATAAATGTGACAGCCCCTCCTCCTTCACCCAGGCTTGGGACTGGCAAGAGTGCAAACACACACACACACATACGCATCCACTCTTGGCAGAGTTAACTGTCACATGAGTTCATTTAACAAAGAAATAAATCAGCAACAGCATGCCTTATGGTGCATGCAGGAAGCGTGGAGAGCCTTAATGGAGTGTAAGACTTACTTTAAGCAATTGCTGAGAGTAACTGTAGCACCCAGTGTGTTCTCTAAATTTACCAAGTGCACATAACATAACTTGATAGTACACAGCTAATAGGAACCAATTAAACTTGTGTGAGGAATCCTGTAAAGTGATCGCTTGGGCATGCTTAGGCATACTGAATTCCCTTGTATAGCTCTGCTAGCTACATTATAAATAAATTTATGTAGAAATCACAGCTACATCAGCAACCCTATGGAAGGACTACTGCAACATTATTCAAAAAAACTATAACAGGAAAACTCACAATTGCTCTGGACGTCGACTTTTTGTTGTACGAAGACAAAAATGAGTCAACCTTTCCTTGCTCAATAAACATTGTCTCTCCATGATTAGCTGCTTTGGCACTAGTCCCAGCACTGCACTTTCTTACACATCCAAACAGAGCATCAATGGAAATATACATGTTGCCATTTTCCTAGAAGAATAGCAAGTTGAGATTTTATCACATGAACATCAGACGACAGAATACTTCAGAAAACAACATTGGATTTACCACTTCACATAACACAAGTTTGAAACATTACAATAACGAATATTAAAATTCAAAACACTGAACATACTAAAAACAAAATTTTACATATTGAAAATAAGGCTGGGATAAGAAAAAAAATTATTTTATTTATACAAATTGAAACAAACCTTAGGACAGGCAGGACATTCATGTTCTTCACCAAAGGAGTTATTGAAATTGGAGAGATTGTCAATGATGCTTTTCAAAAACCTAAACTCTCCAAAGCATTCTCCGACAAGAATTCTGTAAGCATCCTTCACCTGCAAGCAGGGAGCATCGTTTAAAGTTAATCTCAGGACAAAGGACAACAGCCAGCTACGAAACAAATAAAGGTACAAAAAATATTTTGAGTCACAGTCTCAGCATTTCTCTCACAGTGCAACACAATTATAAAAGGCAGTATGCTCCTCTCTGAAGCCTTAATAAGATTGCCAGAGAAAACAAAAGAACAAACAACAGAAACAATGTCCAGCTAGCCTTTAAAACAATAGAGTTGCAAATGAATGAATGAATGAATGAATGAATGAATGAATGAATACTTAATTACTTAAACTACTGATCATGATTGCTAATTAAAGCTATGTGTACTTCTTTGGAATGCCTGCGATAACCATGATGCACAAGTTTAGCCAGCAAGCTAACATGTCATTGTAAGATGTGGCAATATTACAATGTGAGACAAGCATTGTATAATACCTTAGTAACTACTTAATAACCGAGAGTGAGGTCGTTACGGGAAAATCTCAAACTGAGGCCTTGCCGTATTGACCGAGCGATAGCGAGGTCAATACGGTAG